CCCCGATGTATATACCCGATTGAATCACACCATCTGCGCGGTTATTTTTTACTTTTGTCGGAAAGGATCTGAGCTACCCCCTAACCACCGATACGGGGGCAGCCAGTCGCGTCTGTGTGTCGGTCATCCATTGTGTGACGCACCTCGTTGAATGTGGTCTCTTCGGTGTCGTCGGCAGACGTGCTCGCCATCTGCTTGGCCACCGACTTGGACGCACACAGAGCCATCGTGGTGACCAGACACATTCTACCGTCAAGAAAAGTCCATGTACGCGTCCACACATGACATCTGTCATCCATTGCCGCCCACATACATATCCATATTGACACACAGCCACTGATGCCGGCCGGTCGCTTGGGACCGACTGACAGCAACACGCAAGCTGAGCTGCACACAACTACACATCGGTTCTATATGGCTAGCCATCCCTCTCAGTCACATCTGGGTGAGGGGTTGCCGGACGGGTTGCCACTGACGTCAGTGGACTGGGCCGCCATGCCGTTTTGAGCTCTATCCTTCCCCGCCACTACTATGACGGCGGGATCCGACACCGTCTTGGCCTTCTGCTGCGCCCGAATAAACTGAAAACAAGACATCACACACACGTACGCGTGTTCGTGTATGTATCCGTCCCGGGAGCTCACCTCTCGGATGCCTCCGCGGCCCTGTGTGCTGCCGCCAGCCTTGCCGTCATCCCTCTTCTTCTTGGCTATGGCGTCGATGCACGTCTGCAGGTTGCGCTTCAGTCGACCATCCGTCACGCTCTCCAGGAGGCCCCCCAAAGCGCCAGCCTTACTGGCGTCGTACAGGCCGCTCACGATCCGTTGAGCCGTCTGCTTTGCGGCAGGGCGCGATGCGTCCAGCAGACGAGCAGCAGTCGGCAGGATGGCCCTCACCGTGACGTCAGATGCACTGTAACGCTGACACAGAAGATAGAACAGACACCGAGCTCAGTCAGTGACATGCAAAGCATGCCCTGTGCGAGTGTGTCGCACCACTGATGTGAGAGCCTTCTCCAGGAAGTGGGCGGCCTGCGTCGCCACGCCGCTGTCCTTGCGATCCAACGCATCCGACGCCACACTACCGAGTGCCATGACCACACTCTCGCCGGCCGCCTCCTCGGTCGTGAGTGCGCTGAGCGCGTCCTTGGCACCATCCGCCAGGAATCTCTTGTTGCTCACGCTCTTCTGAGCCAGCGGGGGCACCTGAACACACATACAAAAAGGAACCACAGCAACGGTTGACACATCGTTGTCTTCTGTCTCTGCTTGCGTGTGCACGGTTGCTCACTAAGGTGACGGCGACTTTGGCCATCTCTGCTGGCAGCCCTTTGCCGAGATGCTCTGTTGTCAGGATGGCATTGCGCGACACGCCACTCCGCAAACTCTCGGCTTGCTTGATGACGGCCGAAGCGATATCCTCGCTGCAACACACACAAACAGGAATCTGATCCGCCCTTTCTCCCGTCCGCCTGTCTGCTACCCACGTGTCCGTTGTCCTCTCTCTTGGCTCCTTACATGTCATCGGCGAGAAGCGATGGATGGAACTTGGCGAGCGCTTGGATGCGCTGCAGGGAGGTGAAGTGCTGCTTCCAGTCGTCCGACCGCAGCCCATTCAGGGCCTCCTGCAGCACCGCCCTCGGGCTCTCACCGCCCTCCCACTCCAGCTCCTCCCATGACAGATATCGGCACTCGAAGGCATCCTCCTCCTCTGGGCAGCGCTCTGGCTCACACATCGCCTCTCTTTCCTCTTTCCGATCCCCTGCGAGCTAAGGGTCGGCGATGGGAGGAAAAGAGAGAGAAAAAAGGCGCTTGGCGACGCAGCGGTAGGCGAAGGGATGGCAGGGCAGGTGTGTGTGCTTTGTTTTTCTTTCTATCCATCCATTTGAACGATAACTCCATCCGTTTGCCGTTGACCGTGGCGCAGGTGCGAGGCACTCAACCGCTGTGTACGTGTGCAATCATCCGAGCGATCGATTCAATTGTACATAGTGAAGCAAAACAGCCAGCATCATTCCATTGTGACAGCAGCCAGCCTTTGAGTGTCTTCTGAGTGAGCTGCTCTCTCTGTCGGTGCGTTTGATTGCCTTCTCACGATGGCTCTGTGTGCGTCCAAGTCGGTGGCCAAGCAGATGGCGAGCACGTCTGCCGACGACACCGAAGAGACCACATTCAACGAGGTGCGTCACACAATGGATGACCGACACACAGAGATGATGATGCCTGTTGGTCTGTCTGTCTGCCCTCTCTCTCTCTCTCTGTGTGTGTGTGATTGTGATTGTGATTGTGATTGTGATTGTGTGTTCAGGTTGAGAAGTTGCAGGAGATGGGCATCAACATGGCCGACATCAACAAGCTGAAGGGCGCCGGCTACGCGACCGTCATGAGTGTCATCCAGAGCACCAGCAAGGAACTGACGCAGATCAAGGGACTCAGCGACGCCAAAGTCGACAAGGCACGCATGCAACACACCCACATCCACACACCTCTCTGGCCATCCATCCATCCATCCACCCCACAACTCTTGTGTGTGTGTGTGTGTGGATGTGAAGATTCTGGAGGCGGCCCGCAAGTTGGAGGCGTGCAATGCGTTCATGAGCGGGTCGGACCTGATGACGAAGCGCAACCGAATCCTCAAGATGACGACGGGCTCCAACAACCTCGACAAGCTGCTGGGCGGAGGCATCGAGAGCATGTGCATCACAGAGCTCTTCGGAGAAAACAGAACCGGCAAGACACAGGTGAGTGACATGAATGACAAGGAAGAGAGAGAGGCCACGCCACGACCTGCACCGATGAATGTGTATGGGCGTGTGTGTCTTTGCAGGTGTGTCATACGTTGTGTGTGACGGCTCAGCTGCCTCAGAACATGAAGGGCGGCAACGGCAAGGTCAAACACTCACACATCTACACACACACACTCTCCTCTCCCTCTGTATCTCCCTGCAATTGGTGTGTGTGTGTGTGCAGGTGTGCTACGTGGACACGGAGGGCACGTTCCGACCCGAGAAGATCATCAAGATCGCCGAGCGCTTCGGGCTCGAGGGAGACGCCGTACTCGACAACATACTCGTACGCACGCTGACTTGACCAGCCCACACACACAAACAGGCAAACACGTGTGTGTGTGTGTGTTGTGTAGTATGCCAGGGCGTACACCCACGAGCAGCAGATGGAACTGTTGAAGGCGGCGGCGCAGAAGATGGTCGAGGAGCCCTTCGCACTCCTCGTCGTCGACAGCATCATGGCGTTGTTCAGAGTCGACTTCTCGGTACACATACAGCCACTCAAGACACACCACACCCCCTTCCATGTATGTGCGTGTGTGTGTCGTCAGGGCCGCGGTGAGTTGAGTGAGCGTCAGCAGCTGTTGGGCAAGATGCTGTCTCGCATCATCAAGCTCTGCGACGCCTTCAACATCGCCTGCGTCATGACCAACCACGTCATGTCCGGTCCGCGACTCACACACACCCACACACGTGCCACACACACACGTGTTTGTATGGGTTTTGATGTGTGGGTGTGCAGACCCTGGCGGAGGTCTGACGTTCGCCCCTCAGTTCAAGCCCATCGGCGGTCACGTGCTCGGACATGCGTCCACCGTGCGTCTCTCGCTCCGCAAGGCAAGACGCACCCACACCAACACACAGCTACCGACCGGGTCCATGTGTGTGTGTTGTGTGTTGTGTGTTCAGGGCAAGGGCGACCAGCGCATCGTCAAAGTCTACGACGCACCCAACCTGCCAGGTCACACACACACACACACACACGTGTGAATGTGAATCCATCTGTTTGTGTATTCGTCAGAGAGTGAGGGCATCTTTGCCGTGAGTGACGCCGGCATCGTCGACGCCGAGTGATCAACCAAGACCACACAGGCACACAGACTGACAGACAGACAGACAGACTGACAGACTGACAGACTGACTGACAGTCGACCCATCGCATGTCAGAACGGACTGATGTATGATTGCATGGGATGGAGTGAATGCGTTGCCGTGATGGACACAGTGCGGCAGAGCACAGTGCGGCACTCGATAGGGCGTAGAGAGGGGCTCGCGTAGACATACTTTGGCGTGAGTGAGCCCTGCCTCGAATGACGCGACTGTGATTTGATCGGACTGGTCACAGAACATGCCCACAGCAAATGACAGAAGCCGTCATAGCCGTCCTGCCACTGTGTGGTTTATGTGTCCACCACCAATTAGAGATAGATAGAGACGTGCGCGAGAAGTGTCCATCCGTACCAACTGATCCATGCGGCCACGCAGCCACCCACCAAGCGCTCTCACCCTTCACAAGCGCCTTTCCCCAGCACCTGACGTAAAGGAGCGCAACTGTCCACACAGTCACGCCCTCCGCGTCAGCGCTGAGAAGGCCACTCGTCACAGGCAGAGAGAGCCGAGAATGGATGGACGAACCAAGTCAGCACACTGCATGGTTTATACACATGAAGACGCACACATAGAAAGCCGGGAGATGAGCATCGAGAAGGCAGCGAGAGGCAAGGCAAAATTCGCGGACTGACAGAGAGGGAGGGAGGGAGGGAGGCGGGGAGGAGGATATGGGCGTTAAATGGACAGAAGCCGAGAGCGAAAAACCACGACACACACGCACATGATCGAGCGACATCCATCCATCCATCCACACATCCACACATGTCGGCACTTCACCAGCAATCGTGACGGCAAAAAAGGAACTAGCCACGCCGGTGTCAGCGAGCGAATGTGTGAGTGAGTGGTGGGAAAAAGCGTGGCAGACGGGGGGCGGTCGAGGTGCCCGCCCGCCCGCCCGCGAGATTAAATCGTGCACTTCGGTCTGGTTGATAGATAGGGAGGCAGCCAGGCAGTACGGAGACAACAAACGTACACACCGCATTGCACGCACCACACCCGCACCTTCCGCACGCAAACTTCGCGCTGATGTCAGTCAATGCATGTAGGTGGGAAAAAAAGAAACCGTCGCAGCCCCGCGGCCCAGCCAGCAGCACGCACACACACACAGAGAGTGCACTGAGAAAGGTGGATCGTCGGAGGGACTACAAAAAGAGAAGACTATCTATCTACACAGCTGCTTCCACTGCACTAGTGGATCATGAGGTACGACTGACTCACTGACTCGTTGGTTCGCCATACACGATGTTCTCGCGAGAAGGCGCACAGACAGAGAGATGGCATTTGGCTGCTGCATAGGTGTGGGAGATCTAGTCTAGGCAGCCAACACAAAACTGGCCCGCCCCGCGCGCAAACGCATCCATTGCTAACTCTCTCTCTCTCTCTCGCCCCCTCTCTCTACATACGTCCAGCGAGAGGGCGAGGCCCCTCCTTCTTAAACCCTCGAGCATGCCGTCCTATGCACTGATGAGCCACCGGTCAAATGCGATACATAACCTGCACACACACACGACACACCGTACACAGTCAGCCTCCTCCAGACGCCCTCCCTCCCGCCGTCCGCTCACCTTGCCCTCTTTTGTGTGTTGTGGTGTGTGGTGGTCCGTTCAGGGGCTGCGGAATGCCTCTCCTGCGTAGGAGGCCTTGCCGCCGAGCTCTTCCTCGATGCGGATGATCTGGTTGTACTTGGCCAGTCGCTCCGATCGGCAGGGGGCGCCCGTCTTGATCTCGCCCGTGCGCAGGCCGACCACCAGGTCGCCAATGAACGAGTCCTCCGTCTCGCCAGATCTGCACACACACACAGAGAGAGAGCGAGGGAAAGGGAGAGGGATAAGGCAACACACGTCACGTGTAAGAGTGGCTCGTCTGCTGTTGGTGTCTGTGTCGTGTTGTCTTGTCTTGTACCGGTGGGAGACCATGACGCCCCATCCGTTCTTCTGCGAGACTTTGCACGCCTCGATGGACTCGGTGATGGAGCCGATCTGGTTGACCTTGAGGAGGAGGGCGTTGCATGCCTTGGTGTCGAGGGCCTTCTTGATGCGCTCGACGTTGGTGACGAGGAGGTCGTCGCCGACGATCTGGATCTTCTGGCCGAGGTCCTTGGTCATCTTGGAGTAGCTCTCAAAGTCGTCCTGGTCGAAGGGGTCCTCTATCGACACCATCGGGTACTTGTCGCAGAACTCCTTGTACATGTCCGCCAGCTGGTCGCCGCTGATCTTCTTGCTGCCGTCGTTGGGCGTCGTCTTGAAGTCCAAGTCGTACTTCTTGTCCTCTAAACCACACACACACACACAGAGAGAGAGAGAGGGGGAGGACACACAGAGAGAGAGGGGGAGGGAGAGGCACACATGAGTGTGTTGTGGTGTCAGACCGTCTGTGGCGTGTGTGTGGCGTGTGGTGTGTGTGGTGACTGTACGTACCGGTGTAGAACTCGGATGCGGCGACGTCCATGCCGATTTTGACCTTTCCGTCGTGTCCGGCGTTCTTGATGGCGGTCATGAGGAGCTCGAGGCCCTCCATGTTGTCCTGGATGTTGGGGGCGAAGCCGCCCTCGTCGCCCACGTTGGTGGCGTCGGTGCCGTACTTCTTCTTGATGACGTCCTTGAGGCTGTGGTACACCTCGGCCCCCAGCTGCATGGCCTCCTTGAAGTTCTTGGCGCCCGTCGGCAGGATCATGAACTCCTGCATCGCCAGCTTGTTGCCGGCGTGGCTGCCGCCGTTGATGACGTTCATGGCGGGCACGGGCATGACGAACTTGTCGGTCGGGTTGCCCGCCAGGCCAGCGATGTACTGGTACAGGGGGATCTTCTTGGCCGCAGCACCCGCACGACAGATGGCCATCGACACTGCCAAAATGGCGTTCTGCACACACACACACACACACACAGTGAGAGACGCAACACACGCCACATGCACACACAGGTGCACCACACACATGCATCACCCACCCACCACACGCCCCTCCCGTGGTCATGTCCCCCTGTGCCTGGCTGCACGCATGTGGTGCATGTGTTGCATGTGTCGCATGTGTGGTGCGCTGACCGCTCCGAGTTTGGACTTGGACCACCCCCATTCGTTCTTGGTGCCGTCGAGCTGCTCCACCATCATCTTGTCGAGGCCCGTCTGGTCCGTCGGGTCCTTGCCCTTGAGGGCGGGCGCGATGATGCTGTTGACGTTGTCGACCGCCTTGAGCACCCCCTTGCCGAGCAGCCGGCCCTTGTCCTTGTCGCGCAGCTCCAGCGCCTCGTAGATGCCCGTCGACGCGCCGGACGGCACTGCCGCGCGGAACATGCCGTCGGTCGTGGTCACGTCCACCTCGACGGTGGGGTTGCCGCGAGAGTCAAAGATCTCTCGGGCCTTGATGCTCGTGATCTGGGACATCCTGACTGAGTCGGTGGTGGCGGGTGGTGTTCACACCAGGGGAGGGCAGGAAAGGGGAGGCTGCAGCAAAGATGGACAAGGGACGCTGGGGCACGACGGAGGTCGGATCACGCCGCGAGCTCAGCTCGCAACTGAGCTTGCGGAGAAAAGCGGAAAGATTGGAGAGCTTTGGACCCTCTCCGCATCCCTGGTGGTACCTTTCTGACCCATTCGGTGCTGATCTACGTCAAAGATGGATGGTAAGCAGCCACTTGCAACACATGCAGGTCAGGGCAGCAGGTGCCTGCATGTGGCGAGGGGAGGCACCAGAGGGGCTCCTGTGAGCCAGGGAGGCTGACACAAACAAGATCGGCTGCCAAAAGTGACCTGAATGCGTTGTGTTGGGCGTCTCCTTGGGCAGGGAAGGGACGTGACGGCCCTCAGGATGACGACCAGGAGGAATTCTCCATAAGCGAGGTGGGCCTCTCACGCAAAATGCACCGCACAGCCAGGCTATTGAGGCAGACACGCGCACAGACTGCAAGCGTGGTGTGCTGTGTTTTGTCGCACGTGTCGGTGTGTCAGGAGCTTGTCGGTCTCGTGATTGGGCAACGGTACGCACGAACGAGGTCGCTGCATGGTGGATGTGTGTGTGTGTGTGTGTGGTGTGGATGCCTCCCCCTTGGCATTGCAATGGGTGGTCGCAGAGGTGCGAAGATCAAAAGGGTCCGGGACCAATCTGGGGCGCAGGTCGACATTTGGAACGACCGAAGACGCAACGGCATGCAGCCTGTGACCATCAGGGGTACCCAACACACACACCACACGCATCACCACACACCACACACACGCCGATCTGCCACATGGGTCCGTGGTGTGTCGGATGGTGTGCGTGTTGGCCCACTCACTCCAGGCACCCCCGAGCAGCGTGCGAGGGCTCGCGAGCTGATCGACGAGGTCATCGACAGTGACACACGTGGACAAGGTGGGTGACCGACACACGTGTCATGACCCCCACCCTCACTCACCCTCGCCCATGTGTGTGCTGCATCGATCCCTGAGCAGGTGACCGTCGCCGCACCAGCACCCACCAGCGCCCCTCCCGGAGCTACGACACAGACCAGCCCCCCTCCAGCAGCTCGGGCTACGGCGCATCCGACGCCATGCCACACTCCACCTCCTCACACCTCCCGCCCCTCCCCCACGACCGACCCCGAGGGCGGCCCGACGGACACTTCAGAGGTCGTCGTGGGGGCGGTGGCCATGGCGGTGGCGGTTCTCCGCGGCCTCGAGGCGGGCAGCAGCGGTACTTCGAGGCTGCAGACATGGAGCCTTCATCGCCTTCCGGACGGATAATGGGCGGGGGCGGGGGACCACAGCAGAACGAGCGGGGATACGAGTAAGAGAGAGGCGGCGGAGGGGGGGGGGCAGGTGCATCTGTGTGATGGGGTATGTGTGGTCTGTCGTGTGCGATGTGTCACAGCGAGTTTGGGCTTCCCATTCTGGCGGTCCACGCGCACCACGACAAGTTTCTAGCAGCCCTTCGAGACAACCAGTCCATCGTCCTGCACGGCGCCACTGGCAGCGGGAAGACCACACAGGTCCGTCAACCACACCCAAACCCACAACACCAACACCAACCCACTATTGGTCCGTCCGCCTCTCTCTCTCTCTCTCTCTCCGTGTGTGTGTGCAGATTCCCCAGTTCATTTTGCGTGAGGCGCTGCGGACGGACCGTGACGTCCGCATCATCGTGTCGCAGCCACGTCGACTCGCAGCCACAAGCGTCGCAAAGTGCGCACCCACCCACACGGACACACACAACACACAAGACACACCACGCACAAGCCAGCATCCATCCATCCATGTGTATGTCTGTCTATCAGGCGTGTCGCGTACGAGTGCATGATGCGGGGTTTGTCCAAGGACGGCCAGCACCAGGTGGGCGGCCTCGTGGGGTGGCAGATCGGACAGGACCGCATCAACGCATCAAGACACAGCAAAATCCTCTTCTGCACCACCGGTAGGTAAAAAAAGGGAATGGGCCACACTCACTCGGTCCCACCGACACACCACTTGGTTTCGCTTCTGGTGCCGTCTGTCTGCAGGCATCTTGTTGCGCCGCATCGTGGGTGCGATGAAGGAGAGCCAGGGGAGCGCGAGTGCCTCGGCGACGGGCGACGACTTCAGCCGCTGGACCCACGTGGTGATTGACGAGGTGCATGAGCGCGACACCGACACAGACCTCTTCATGGTGAGGAAAACGGGCGACGGGACAGGGATGTGTGGTGGTGGTGGTGGAGGATGGGCATTTGCGTTCATGTGTGTGTTGAGCGTGTGTCAGGCGTTGATGCGTCGACGTTTGGCCAACGACCCCCGTGTCAAGGTCATCATCATGAGCGCCACCATGAAGAGCTGTAAGCTCTCGCACAACACAATACACACACACAACATACACACATCCATCCCCTCCCCCCCCCTCCCCCAATCCCTCACTCACTCACTCTCTGTCTGTCGGTCTGTCTGTCTGTCTTGTCTGTCTGTCTGTCAGCCATCTACGCCAGGTACTTCAGCCCCACGGCCATCCAGCGGCAGGCCGAGCGCCTCAAGAAGCTCGAGCACGACATCGAACTACGACTCCAGGGCCGCATCCCAGTCGCCAACAACAGCAGCAACACGTAACCCAATTCCTCTCGCACCACACCACCACACAGCCAACCACCACAGAAACATCTCCCTTCTTTGTGTGTCGTGGCCAGTAGGAGCGGTGGTGGGTGGACGGGCCGTCCCGCCCCCCCTGCACAGCGTCGTGTGCCGTCGTCGGGGTGGGACGACAGCGACGATGAGAACCAGATGGACATCTCGCCGCAGGCCCGCAACCGGCAGTCAAGCTGGGGGCAGCCCAGAGGGCAACAACACGCCACCAACGGCTGGGTAGGGAGGGATTGGGATTGGGATTGTGTTGTGTGTGGGTCCGTCGTCCGCCCTCTTGTCTGTGTCTGTGAGTGTGCATCTGTCGCCTGTATGTTCTTTCGTTCCTTATAGGGTGGTGGCGGTGGTGGCCGTGGCGGCTGGGGGTGGAGTGGTCCGTTCGGTGCGTCAGGGGGTGGCAACGAGGAGGACGACATTCCGCCACTGCCGGATGAGGCGCGTGATCCACGACACATGACCATCCCACCACCACCAGCACCAGCAGCGCCTTCACATCTGTCTGTCTGTCTGTCTATGTGGCTGTCTGTGTGTGCGTGTCTGTGTGTGCAGGTGTGTCACATGATAGCTGTGGACGGCGTCATGTATGAGGTCAAGGTCTCCTACCTGGAAACCATCGTCGACAAGTGACACCACACACACACAACACACACAGCACACATGGCGCCAGCCAGGATGGAGGACAATGCCGTCCCTGTGTGTGTCCTTTCTCCCTCATGGCGGCAGGATCTGGCCATGGGTCTCCCGCAAATACGGCTTCCAGGTCCCCCAACCGCCCACACTCAGCACATGGATGTCTGTGTGGCTTCTTTGATTGTGCAGCTTAACACCCGCCCCGACGCCCACTCGCTGCGGTCTGAGTTTCTGAAGGAGCAGCCGCAGGTGGCGCGATTCTCGACATTCGACCTCTACGACATCGCATTCTTCGCATGTGGTATGCACACACACACACACACACATGTGTGGGCCGACTGACAGGCAGCGAAACTGTGTGGTTGGTGTGTGTCAGGGTACATTCACGAGCAGAACTTGGACGACATGGAGAAGACCATGGACACGGGCAAAAACTCCATACTCATCTTCCTACCAGGTACACACACGCCCACTCATCCCCCTCCCCTCTCCTCTCCTCTCCTCTCCTCTCCCTCTCTCTGTCCCTTTGTAGGCATGGCGGAGATCAACCGGCTGGCCGACAAGTTCACCACACAGGCGCAGGAGCTGGCAAGGGCCTCTGACGGCCCCACCAGCTCCTCTGCCGAGGCCACTGACGCGTGGTGGAAGGTCATCCGTGTGCACAGCAACATCGACGCCGATGAGCAGGATTCGGTGTTTGCTGACGTGCCTGGTGGGTGGATTGGGGAGGTGGGGGGGAGGGATACACTCACACGTGGGGCGTGTGTGTGTGTGCGTGTGTGTGGTCAGGCTACCGCAAAGTCATTCTGGCGACCAACATCGCCGAGAGCTCCATCACCATACCAGTAAGACCGTCGAAACCATGCATCTGTCGCTCGCCTGCTCTGCTCTGCTCATCTGTGGTGCGTGTGTGTGGCTGGTTGGTCAGGATGTGGGCTATGTGTTGGACTTCTGTCTGGTCAAGGAGCACCACTTCGTCGAGACCACCAGCACCAACACACTCTCGCTGCAGTGGGCCTCGCAGGTCAGTCAGCCAGGCGGTCCTCGCACATACAAACAAACAACACGCACACCCAGACGCATCGACACACTCTGAATGTGTGTGCAGGCTGCGTGTGACCAGCGTCGCGGTCGTGCTGGCCGTGTGCAGAAGGGAAACTGCGATCGACTCGTGCCAGAAGTATGCACCCACACACACAGAGGAAGGGAGAGAGGGACGGACGGACGGACGGAGGGACGGACGGACGGACGGACGGACGGAGGGAGAGACATCAGAGAGGCCCATGATTGCTGTGTGTGCTGCCGTGTGGTTCCGTGTGTTTATGGCTGCAGTTGTTTTACCACCGCCAGCTGGCCGAGTTCACCAAGCCAGAGATCCAACGGTGCGCCCTCGAGAAGGTACTGTACATGCCCATCGATCAGACAGACCACCCCAGCCAGATGGACGCAGGCAGAAGGCAGCAGAGCAGGGCCAGTGTGCCTGTCCGTTCCGTGTTGCGTGTCAGGTGGTGCTGCACGTCAAGATCATCGGGTTGGAGCCTGCTGACGTGCTAGTGGAGTGCCTCGACCCGCCCTCAAAGGACAAGATCGACTCGGCCATCAAACGACTCCAGGACAAAGGTCAGTCAGTGGGCAAATGTGGGTGGGGAACACACACGCACACACACACACAGAGAGAGAGAGAGAGAGAGGGGTATAGGGGATGGCGTCTGTGTGTGCGTGTGTCAGGTGCATTGACGCCCCCGTCTGAGAAGTACCCGTCCGGCAAGTTGACGTTCCTGGGCAGGGTGTTCGACGAGATGCCCTGCGACATCGACCTGTCGCGGCTCATGATATACGGTAGACAGAGAGGGAGGGAGGAATGGAATGGACAAGTACACACCACACAACGCTGAACGGTCTGGCACAATGTGTGTGTGTGTGTGTGTGTAGGTTACACGTTCGGCTGCCTGAAGGTGACGGTGAAGATCGCCGCCATTCTCGCCACCGAGAAACGTCGACTCATCGACCCACACAGGTACGTTCATCTGGGCGATATATGCCGACACGCCATGGTGTGGGCCTGATCGTTGTTTGTGTGGTGTGGTGTGTGCAGGCTCCCCCGTGGCGGCAGGGGTGGGCGAGGTGGCGGCGGCCCGCCAGGACAGCAACAGCAAGAGGGCGCTGGCAGAGTCTATCACAAGGTGACTGGTGACTGGGGGTGGTTTGTGGGTGCGGACAGAACGGCAGACAGATTCGCCGCTCATGCGCTTTGTTCGTGTATGTGTGTGTGTGTATGTGTGTGTGTGTGTGTGTGTGTTGCTGGGCCATTCAATGTGTGCAGAAGCTGTTGATGTCGTTGGGCAGCGAGTGCGACCTCATCACGGAGCTCAACATGTGGGAATACGTCGAGTTTTACTTCCCAAACTACAAACGATTCTTCGACAACTACACGGTTCGACAACCATCCACACCATCCACCATCCATCCACTTCTTTCCCTGTGTGTGTGCAGGGGCGTACTGAGGACCGCAAGAGCTTCCTACGGCTGCTGTCTGACCATGGCGTGAGCATCAAGACACTCGAGGAGGCCCACACCAACTACGTCGACTTCGAGCGACGGCTCTCCCGACTCGATTTTTGGCGACAGGGGTCAGTGAGGGGGTGGGGGTGGGCATAACTCACACACAGACAACACACGGTGTGTGTGTGTGTGTGTGCAGGTTGCTGTAGGACGGCTGGTTGCCTCGTGAGCGTTTCTCGTGCTTCGACGACGAGCGTGAGGCGTTCGGATGGCCGGCCGTTCGACCTCCTCGACGCACACTACCAGAGCAACATGTTCATCCTCAAACTCTGCATCGCTGCCGGTCAGTCAGTCAGTCAGTCAGCAGGCAGTCAGTCGACTTGTGGGGCCGACTGACAGAAAGGGGCACGTCCATGTGACTGAGTCAAGAGGATGCGTGTGTGTGTGTTATGTGTGTGCAGCGTTCTTCCCGGACTACTACATTTCCAACTCGCAGGACTTCGCCCTCTTCGACCGGTGCGGATGGGTGGCTGCGGCGAGCGAGATCTGTCCGTTTGGTAATCTTCCTCTTGTGTGTGCAGTTTCTACGTCGACCGTGAGTTGGAGGACCGTCGCAAGAAGGCCCTCGCACTCCCCCCATCCCACGAGGAGCGACAGAGGCAACTAGAGGTGCATGACGACACACGACACACACACACACACACACATGCTTCCTTCACGGCCATCTCTTGCGTGTGTGTGTGTGTGTGTGCAGTTGGTCGAGGCGTACCGTCGGCTGGAGAACAGGAAGTCCAGCCAGCAGGACCAGTGGGGCCACGTCGAAGAATACCAAAACTGCATTTGGGTCAGTCAGTCGGTCAAACACAAACACACACACGCGGTGACCTCTCACCTCACCCCCGCCATGGTGTGTGTCGTGTTCGTGTGTGAGTGCAGTTTCAGGACATCCCAGCTGAGGCCACGGCCACGCAGGAGAACCTTTTGCGCCAGTTCAACAGGACTCTCGCCCCGCACCTTCTCACCCGCCCTCGCGACACGCAGCGCGGATACCCATGCGCCAGCATTCGGTGAGTGTGACTGTGAGGGTGAGTGGGCCTATCAGGCCAAGGCCAGCAGCGCACCAATTGCTGTCTGTCTGTCTGTCTGTCTGCTTCTGTGTGTGCAGGTACCAGCCGATGGACGACTACGGTGGGCGCAGGAGTGGGTCGTCGAAGGAGCAGGGCATTCTCGTGGAGTTTAACGACATCGCAGAGCTCAAGACGGTGCGGACTAACCACACAAAGCGCATCGCACTCTTGGCCTGCACTCGTGTGTGTGCGTGTGTACGTGTGTGTTGTCAGGCATTCTGGCTGGAGAAGCGCAAGAAGATCACATACAGCTGCTCACTCGACGGTACACCAACACACCATCCCGGCACACACACAACCGCCATCGTCAGCAAAGGCCACCAAGACCAGACCACCTTGGTGTGTCGTGTTTGTGGCTGCAGATCCGTCGTCGTCGGCCAGCGCGTCCGACCCCTTCGCCCACACGTCGGGCGACCTGCCGCCGTCCAAGACACCCTTCGCACTCAAATTCAGAGACTCCAACTACAGTGAGTGAGTCGGGAGGGATGCAGGCAGGCAGCACAAATCAATCAAATGCACTTGGATGGATGCATCTGTGTCGTCGTGGTCGTGCATATGTGTGTGTGTGGTGTGTGTGCCCGCAGCTCCGTTTGAGGTGGAGTTCGACAGTGTCAATGCGGTGACGGTGGAGGCCGGACGCACGTACGTTGGCACTCCCGCACTCACACAGAGAATGAGAACTGCATAGAGGCTTGAATGATGCGTTTTGCCCCCACCCATACCTACAGGATGTTCAACCAGCGGGTCATCGTGGCCCGACGGTGAGTGTGAGCCAGACAGACAGGGGAGAGCCTTTCTGTATTTGTTTCTCGTCTCTTTCCGTGTGTGTGTCATGTGTTGTGTGCCCCAGTCGATTCAGTCGCAAGATGAGCACACTGATGGGCGCCAATGTGTGCGAGACCTCACTCATGCCACCCATCAGGTACACACACACACACACATCCACACACACACACACACACATATGTCGCCCCTGTCCATCATCTTCCTGTGGTGTTGGTGTTGTTGTTGTTGTGGCTTTGTCCAGGGGCATGTGTGAGCTGTTGGGTCTGCTGTTCGCCCAGCAGGTCGTGTGGAAGAAGCAGCACGCATCGCAGATGGAAACCTACGACGACTGGATTCCCCCCAGCAGCAGCAGCAGCGACCCACCGCCCCAGTATCCCCAGTACCCCCAGCGCCACCAGCAGGTGCCCAATTTGGTGGGCTTTGCCGTGCTCGGTGGCGACAAGATCTCCTTCGCTCTCACCTGCAAGCTGCTGCCGACCGACATTGAGGCGCTCAACAAAATCCGCCAGTGCATCTCACAAGTGGTGAGTCAGTGTGAGCAACGCACAACACACACAGCAGCGGTAGATGCGGGTGATGGTTCGGTGTGTGTCGTGTCGTATCGTGTGTGTGTGTGTTGTCTGCAGCAATCCAGCGGCACACATGACAAGCACGACCCTGAGCACCTGCGCAAGTGAGACACACGAACGATCTGAACTGCTGGAGTCTTTATTCAGGGGCCTTTCTCCTTCTCGTGGTGTGTGTGCGTGTGTCCGTGTGTCGTGTCGTCATATATATGCGCAGGCTCGTGCTGCAGTGGTTCAGCACGCCCCGGGAGCAGCTGCACCCCTCCACACAACAGGTCAGTGGCCGCACAGTACATGTGCCGGTGAGTCGAGCCAGTCGCATGATGTGATGGTTGTGTGTGTGTGTGTGCTTGTGCGGCATGGGTGCAGGGCGAGGAGATCTGGGAGCCCAACAAGCGGCAGAGGCACGACACTTCCCCACGCAACGGATCTGAGGAGGACCTGCAGCTGCCCGACCTCAAGTGAGAGGGCACGATACCAACCCACCAGACGGACGGACTCATGTGGTGTGGATGGTGTGTGTGGTGTGAGCAGGGTCCCTGACGGCACCATCATCACCGAGGGGGACTACATGCATGAGCAGCACCGCTGGCGGAAAAAAATGAAACGACAGTTCCTCGACGTGACCACCCTGGCCCCGGCGTGTGCGGTGTGTGAGGCCAAGTTCTACGTGTCGCGTGAGAAGGCCGAGGAGTACGAGCGCCGGTCGCTGCTGCTGGGCAAGATACTCATGCGATACCGAATGCTCACACTCTTCGAGGTGCGTACGTGAGGTGGGGGAGGCCACACAGTCAACCGATGCTCACTGACTGACTGACTGAGTGTGTCCATTGGTTTGTCTGCCGCCCGTGCAGGACAAGTGCTGGGCGGTCTGCTGGGTCCACAACTGCAACTGGTCGGTGGGTCGGTGTGTGGCTGGGTCGGGTCGGTGCGCCACGTCCACACGTTGATTGATGTCCCCCCCTATCCCTCGTTTGGTGTTGGTGCGTGTGTGGGCGTGTGTGGTCAGTCGCGTGTCATCGCTGGACAGCATGGTGCCCCTCGGCGACAAACTGCGGGAGCAACGGCCCCCACGCGCACTACAGCTTCTCGCCCCGCACATCCGTAAGTGACACACCCACACACACACAGGTAGCCGGCCACTCTCATCTCCTCTCACCTCTCCCCGTGTGTGAGAGCGTGCGTGTGCAGGTGGGGCTGCCTTCGTGTTGGGTGCGTCGTACTTCGTTGTCCCGGAGGACTGTGCTACAGCCGAGGCGCGCCAGCTCTCACCCGACGAGCAAAAACTCTGCACTGCCGTGAGGGACATCGTAAGCAAAGACCGCAAACCAACCGACCACATGATGTGGTACAACTCCTTGTGTGTGTGTGTGTGTGTGTGTGTGCAGAGAGGTCGTCTGCAGCGGGGTCATCAGCAGCAGTCGGTCCCGCCTCTGTCTTACATCAAGTGCGACAAGGGCCACATCGTGGGGATCGAGCTGGCGCTCAGGGGCGAAGAGCCGTGCAGACTCGTACTCGAGGCATCGCCGCTCGCGTGCGCACCCACACACACACACACACACACACAGTCTGACTATCCAGGCAGCCATTCACCGATCCCACGTCTGTGTGTGGCTGTTTGTGTGTGTGTTGTCTGTCTGTCTGTCAGTCTGTGTCTGTGTGGTCGTGCGCAGCTGCGCAAGTATGAGGAGGGCAGCAGCGGCGGGGCCGTCACACAGAAGACCCACTGCGCATGGACCCATATCAACTGGGACAAAGATCGAGATGGGTCAGTTTACCCTTCCCTCAGCCCGACCGACCGCCCGCAACACCATACCCCACGCAGCCCACCACACGAGTGCTCTTGTTGCTGTGTCTGTCGCGTGTATCAGTGTTTCCTTTGCTCGTATGCGGCAGCTGCTGGCGAATTTCGAGAAGGAGTACGCGCAGCGGCCCAACATCATCCCCTGCGAAATCTGCGAGACCGAGTTCAAAGACGGAGAGTTCAACGGTGAGTATTCTGCCACACACACAGACACAGACGCACACACACGGGCACGGGTGCAGCAGCCGAGGTGCTCTGGTCATGGTTGTCCGCGTGTGTGTCTGTCCGTCCACTAGACAAGTGCCGCAAGCCGCGCGGCCGCAGCAGGGCGAACGACCCCCCGACAGACAACGAAAAGAAGGCGTGGTGCCAGGTACACACACACAAACACAGACAGGTAGATAGACGGCAACACGTAACCCCGCCCATCCATGGGTTGTCTGTCTTGTGTGTTGTGTGTGGCTGTGTGTTGATGTGTGTCAGTTCATGATGCACTGCACGACGCCAGCACACAGGGAGGCCGTTGCCACGTACACAGTTGAAGCAGACCGATGAACCAATTGCATGCATCTGTCGGCCTCTGCTGGGAATGTGGCGACGGGATCACTGTGTGGGCGTGCATCCTGCGTGCTGTTTGTGTGCTTTATTTATCATCCCCCTATGTATGTATGTGTGTATGTCTGCAGGCCTGTCTGTATATACAACACAACACAACGCAATCAACACACACTGACTGTTGTTGCTGTTGATGGGTTTCTGGTGTAAGACCTACATGTACAGTGATCCGTCGTGCCCTGTTCATGCTTGAGTGATGGCTATGTGACCAAACCTATCAATGACCATCACTCAAGCAGGAAGAGTGCACGACGGATCACTGTGCTGTGCATAGAGTCCTCTTCTCCTGGGATGATCTATAGCTACCTGGCTGGCCGCGCATGTCTGTCCTTTTCGGTCCGTCTGCAGAAGAGCAAGTACCGCGGTTTATCGGCCAGAGCGGTGGTTTTGTGTTTTGTGTGGTTCCGTGTGCGTATCGTATCAATGGTGCACGGAAGTGGATCTGGATGTCATGAACGGTCGGTCGTCTTGTTTACTCTCTCTCTCCCTCTCTGTGATGTAGATACATAGATATTTGTCCCTCCCTCATGAGCATCTTGTCTGCCCACCCCCTGTCTTCACCTGATATCGCTCGTGGCCACCTGCCCATCTACCTCTCCCTCTCTTCGCTCCCTCTCTCTCTCTCTCTTTCTGTCCGTATGTCCGTCTGTCTGTCCGTCTCATGCTTCTACCGCGGGATGCGATGCGCCATACCATAGCTAGGACTTCCTTCCTGTAACCTCCCTCCCTCCGTTGTGCGCTCCGCATCTACGCTTTCCTTTATCGTTCATGCGCTGTGCAGACATACAAACGCTGCGACAGATCGGAATGACGTACCTCCTCATTGAACCATGCGACGCAACGAAGAGTCAATGCACCCACTCCCACACACACACGACCACACACGCACACACGCACACGCATTGCTAGGCTGGCGTCCTTCAGGGCCTTCCCGCCACCAGAGGCTCTCTCTCTACACATGACAGCTCAGCATGCATCTCAAAAGCACTCGATTATCCCAGCTCCATTTCCCTCTGCGCAGCATCGCTTGTTCACTTGGCAAGGGCCAGCAGTCCCCAAGCCCCGATAAAAGCCAGTCCGCCCACCGGCGTGACAGCGCCCAGCCACTTTTGGTCCGACAGCACCAGCGCATATAGACTACCGCTGAAGAGCACAATGCCCGCCGAAAAGAGAGCCGCTGACCTACATGGCACCAACGGTACACACAAGCATCCTGATATGCATGGTCGCTCTGTGACACACTGGGCAGGCACCGTCGTGTTCTTTCTGTCCTCACCAGTTGAATCTGTTTCTGCCGAGCGTTTGTGCTGCGATGATAAGGCCAACCGAATGACTCATGTGGTAGTGCGTCGCGGTCTCCCAGATCTGACACACACACACGGGATTGACCTTGTGTGCAAGCATCCGGGGTGTGGCATTGATCTCCTGCGCCCGTACGTGCCTTGAGTTGTTCAGTTGAGATGCCTTTCGCCCTCAGCCCATGTGCGCCAAACGCTCCCAGGCACACAGAGAGAGCTGCAGATCCACAGCCTATGTAGAACCACGGTGAAGGGGGACCACTCATCTCAGGATCCGATGGCACATATGTCCTCCTAGCCCTACTCAGCCAAGTTGGACCGGTGCATCTGAGCTAAGCGCGCAATCCGATGCATGCAAAGCGCGCACTGGCACGCATTGCAGAGATGGATTCCGGGGCTCAAGTGAGGCAGGGAGCGCCAAGGGACAGCCGTGCCGATGATGGCCTTGACATGACCGCCGTCCAGAGAGCGAGGACCCTCCTCATCGGCAGACACACGCCCATCTACGAGATGGACGACGCTGCGCATCTTGTGGCGAAGGAGAGGCGCCCACGGGACAGTTTGAGGAAGGCCCCATCTGCCGCTGGTGCCCCGTCCTCATCTGCAATGAGTGGCGCTCGAATCCGCATGGAAGGCTCGGTCGCTGCAGCCACAAGACGGCGGCAGACGCTGAACGAGAACAAGAGGCGGCGACGGCTCAAGAAGATGCAGAGCCACATGGAGAAGGAGGAGCCGCGCATCGCCTTCGGCCGGTCCACCTCTCATCTGTCAAGGATGGGGCAGACAGCCACCAACGACACCGACAAGGACCATGGGTCCCCTTCGGAGAGCGTCGTCGAGGCCTCCATTCATCCATCAGACGGCACACCCGACTACTGGAAGGTGGCATTGCAGAGAGTCAAAGAGCGAGAGGCGGCGAGACAGCGGGAACGGGAACGGAGTGAGATCCGGGCGGCAGAGGCCAGGCAGCGCCGCAGCAAGTCTCTGGAGAGGGCCACCCTGCTCCGTCAGACTGTACTGGAGCGGCTGCGGGTGGAGAAGGAGATCCAGAGAGAGCACCGGTTGGCAGCAGAGGCATCACGGTTGGCCCAGGAGGATGCCCGGAGGAGTATGGGAGAGGTGTGGGAGACAAAAAGAAAGGAGGCAGCCAAGAGGACCATGGAGCGCGAGGCGCGTGACCGGGAGAGGGTGCAGAGGGAGGCCGAGGCCGCCAGGGTCAATAACCAGAAACGGAAGGTAGGTACCAAAGACCAAAACACAAAGACACATGCATGACCCACACAGAGAGACTAGAGGGACTGTTGCTGCTTTCGTGAATATAATGTGACGAACAGGTGGAGTCTGCGAGGAAGGCCGAGGCGGGCCGTCTCGAGGCCCTGCAGCGAGTGCATGTATTCGAGATTCGGCAGATGCGCCGGATTACATCGGAAGAGGCCCGAAAAAAGCGCGAGCAGGAGACCAGCACGCATCTGCTGGAACTCAGAGAGGAACAGGTCAGCCAGGCCGATCCAAGAACCGACGCATAGACGAGACACGAGCCACATGACCGCCGACATTTGGTGCATGCAGGCCCGCCAGGCAATACAGGCCGCCAAGCAGCGAATCAGGCTCAGGCGGCGGCAGACCACCGACGCCATCCCGTCGAAGAAAGACGATGGCACACCGCCTCAGCAGCCGTCCCCCCGCCTTTTCCCCCTAAGGTCTTTCCCTCTAGAGGCACGACAACTGGACAGCGACAACACCAGCTACAACGACAATGGCGAGAATAAGTTTGTGCTGCCACCGATCGAGCCAGTGCCAAAGGGGGAGTCTCAGAGCGACGTGCCGTCGATCAGCAGCGGTGAGCTGTCGGGCCCACTGCCAGTCATCCTCGACAACACGAGCGGCTCGGCGGCCTCCTCGCCCAGACAGAGAAGGGCCGTCCCGGCTGTTGCGCAGAGTGATGGTGGATGGAGGGGCTCGTTCTCTTATGCTGAGGCCTTCCGAAGGACGCTACGTGAGAGGAAGGAGAAGAGGCAGCAGTACGCCCAGATCCATGAGCACCAGCAGGAGCTGAAGCGGCGCACATCCCATAAGCACATCAACACCCACATGAGAAGGGTTGAGACTCTCACCCACAACAACAACAACAGCAGCCGCAACAGCAGGGACATCTCTGAGGAAGAGACGACAAACGACCCCTTGGCCGCTCCCGCCCCAATCCTTACCAGGCCGACGGACGGCAAGAGCCCCTGCTCCCCCTCCCCGCCCCCCGACTCGTCCTCTCCACCCTCTCTCGCGTCATCGCCCTCTCCCGTACCGCAGGTCGGCGCGTTCGTGGGTCACATTGCTGGTGAAGACGACCATTTTTTTAAAAACGATGGTGTGGCGGCGCCCCACCTGAGCACTCCTTCTGTCAAACGGGAGTGGCTGGCGCCGAAGAAGGCTCCACAATCAAGCCCTGCGTGCGGGACACCCAACACCAACGCCGGCTGTCGGAGACGCGTGTGAGTGAGAGTCCAGACACGATGGCTGCTCTGGGGAGACTGATATTCCGCGTCTGAGTGTGTGTGTGAGTATGTGTGTTGCGCGACGCTGCCGTGGCCATGTGAACGGAAATACATTCTGGAAGATGCATGTGTATCTATCTGGTTGGTGGGAGGATTGATTGCCCTTGATGGTGGATGGAACGAACGAACAGGTGTGGGTCCATGACATGGAGGTTCAACGCGTGCAACAAACAGTGTATGTGCATTCATTTGTACAGGCAGGCAGGCGGGCAGAGAGGAGCGAGTTGGGGGTGAGAAAGGAAGGCAAGGCAGGAGACAGAGCAAGCAGCAAGCAGCGAGTCTCTCCTCTTTGAGGCGACCACGGCTAGTACGAACGAAAAACTGCATGGTGACATCCCTCACGTCAAACGGCAAGGCCCACACACCCAAACACATGCGGCCGCACTCTCCACTCACACGCATCAACCGAGTCAGTCGGCCCACTGAGCCTCAAATTATGCCAGTGATCGATCTCAGAGTGGAAAAACTGACAACATCTATAAGGCACGGACAGCAAATGTGCCCTCCCTCCCCCCCTCCCTCCCCCCCTCTCTCTCACTGAACGATTGCAGGACGTCATCCTCCTCAACTGACTGACAGACTGACTTGTCATGTCAGAGCTAGTACAATAGTAGGTGCGCATGTGTGTGTATGTGGTAATGTCCATGTGTGGTGTGGTTATCGATAGCTGCCCGCCTGCCTTCGTCTACCAGTAGGTAGGGGGGGTAAGGCGCCTCGCAATGAATCCAATGCAACTCAACTCAACTCTGTCGGTTCTCGTCTCATCTCATCTCATTCATCTCTTCTTTGACACGACCGACCGCCCGACAGAAAAAATAGGGGTGCATGGGTCTGTCGATGCAGGCACGACAGGCATGGCAGCTCACATCGGGAGGCTGGTCCATATCCATGGTCCCTCCCTCCCTCCGTTGTGCGCTCTGCCTGCAGCCCACCTGTGCTTGTGCATGCATCTCAATGTTTATCAATGAGTGATGATGCCCATGCACCCGGCAGGCCCCCCGGGAGCAAACTTGAACGCCGCCAGGGGGGGCCTGCCAAAAATGTCGTGCCGTAGATCTCTCAGCCACGTGCGAACGCACACCACATTCCGATCAACTAAATGCACTCAGTGGTCGCTCTCGTCCGCCACCTCCGTCACCCACCCCCTCACTCGTACATCCATCCATCGATCCTGCCTCTCTCTCTAGAGCACCCACACGACAAATGAGTGCGTGAGCGACCCGGTGTCGCCCATCCAAGCATTCGCCGCTCCGCCCCGCTGCTACCCGCCCCTACCGCTCTGCATCGCGATAGCTTTACACACTATAGCTCCTCCCT